TATATGGATTTTGTTCTGTATTCAGGATTTTTGTGATCGACTATGTAGATAAGACGTCACACCGTATTATCATTGTACCCGATCTGACGAAAATATTTCAGGAAGTTAATTGTAAAATTGCAAACAACTGAAAGTGTAACCAGAGCTAGAGAAGCTAGAAGAAACCCTATCATGGACAAGAAACAATCGTTGCGTCTGTAGTAAATAACCCCCTGCAGACCACAACAACAGAGTTGCTCGAATTCAAGAAATTGTGGCCCACCATCAGCATGATTTTGAAAATCCAGTTGTTTTGCAACAAGATGGTGCACCCCTCAATGTTTAAGGCCTGTAAGGGATTGGTTCGATCAGACATACCCAGGTATGTGGATTAGAATGGCCTGCTCGTTAACCGGAGTTAACTCATCTCATTTCTTCCTTTGGGGCTATATCAAATCTAAAGTTTATGTTACGCTACCTGGAACAATACGGGAACTTAGAAACAGACTTACCGAAACTTGGGCTAGCATTACCCTAGAAACATTTCAAAATGAAAATGAGTTCAACAAGAACATTTTGATCGTTTCAAAATCGAATTATTTTTTATGTATAAGATAAATGAAAACGAGGTTAAAATAGAATTGTATCGCTTTAATGTCTTGAAATGAACATTAATCTATTACTAAGGATGTTACTCTTTTTTTCTTTCCAATGAACATTCACTTCAAAAAATCGTTCTCAGGGTGGCGGAGTTACGAAAATACTAGTCTCAAATTCAAACATCAATGACTCCGCAATCAATTATCGAAAGTCAAAAAAGTGGAGGTCAATATGTATAGAGAATTGAAATACCTTCCATCCGAAACATCGCAAGACCCTTTTCCACCCTTTTAGCGGCAACTCTGATGTCACACTATTGGCTTTTTCATCAAAAAGTAATAAAAAAGCAATCATTTAAAAAAAATTGTTCGATTCTGATATCTTGATCCGTTCGAAAGTTAAGAGGGGTGGACGCTATGTACGTCCACACTGTATTTTCAGGGTCAGGCAACTTTCTGTGTTTCTCTCAACCCTGCAAAAATTCCATTACTTGTTTGAAGGTGGTTGACGACAATGTTTCATGGTGAATATTATTAGTTCGGACTTCCATTGTCTAATATGGTATAAAATGATTTGAAATCCCTTAAAGAATCAATAGAATTAAAATGAATAGCTGAAAATAACAATTATATTAAGCAAAAAAACCTTAAATGAAATTACAATAAAATAAAATACAAAAAAAGACCTTCCTTTGTGTTACAGAGCTCGAAAGCACGGTCTAGTAGAGTCTTGATGATTCCTCTCTTAGTCGATTGATGGTGATTGGATTTCTGGTTCAGATACTGTCCTGTGTGAGTGGGTTTTCAATATACAAATGTTTCCCATTTAGTGTCGGTCCTCTTCACCAATACGTCTAAAAAAGGCAATTCGTTGTGGACTTCCTTCTCCATTGTGAAAGTCATGGAAGGACTTACGTTGTTGATGTGCTTCAGGAAAATGTCTAGTTCTGCATTCCCATGGTTCCATACGTAGACGACACCTGCATAATATGGAACTTGAATACTTAAAAAGATGGCTTTTAAAATATGATACAAATCAGTTGTCATAAAACTCATCTGTGAAATAGATATTAAATGGACTTACCATTTAATAAAAATGTGAAACTAAGTTCTCTCTACGTACTTATTCACGAATATAATCTATTATGTTCACCAGAAGCCTTTTCACCTGGCTGTATGCCATCTAATTGTTTTTCGATAGTGAAACTTTTTACGAACTTGAACTCGTGTTTTGATAAGTAAAATCGTTCATTTACGCCGTGAATACGTGTGAGTATTATTTTATTTAGAAATCCTTTTGAGTAGTAAATTGATGGAGTCACGTGGTAGGAAATCATTATAAAAACTTTCAGTTTTTTGCCACTTTTATTTGTAACTAACGTTACTGCAGTTTCGACCTATAAGGACATTTTCAAACTTTATATATTGAACTCAGTTCCTTTTGAGTAGAACTATTTAACTTAATATGTTTTTTACCACTTTTCTAACGTTACTGCAGTTTCGTCCTATACGGACATTTTCAAACGTATACAATAAACTAACAATGGTTCATTACATTAGCCCTTATATACCTACCACCCCTGTAAATACTAATAGAGGTACTTGGCTTGACAGAGTACCTGAATTTACAGTTTACAATGCGGATGTGCCAATTTAAAAACCGGTGAGTAAACTAAATCAATTTGATCATTCAACAGGTTGCACCCGCAATATTTATGCTTGTGAATTTCCAAGGATTCTAAATAATTGAGTTTGTGACCCTTCCTTTCATAGTGCAAAATTTTCGTATCGTTTAGATTCGGAAACTTGTGGTTGCATGCCAAGGAATGGTTTGAAAACGTCGAATCATTTTTTCCTAGTGTGAAGGACCTTTCATGTTCAGCATACCGTTTTTGGAAATTTCGGCCACATTGCCCCATATGAACACTATTACACTCCGGACACTTATAAAACTCCACCTTATATTTGGCATTGAAAAGGAAATGAGATAACCTGGCATATGGTCTGAATGCCACTTCCACATTGTTTTTCTGAAGAAACCCACAATTATCTCTGTTCTTTTTCTAAAATATGTTAGAGTTACCCATTTCTTGAGTTCTGGTTGTTTGACCTGAGGGTATATTAATTTGTAAGTGAATTTACGGCTTTGATTTACTGACTAACTTCTGGATAGTATCTGNAACTATATCAATTTCCCTAGCTAGATTGTAAGCAGACAAAGGCAGTGAGAATGCTCTGTGCAACATTGAATTGTAGGCTGCTAATTTATGACTGTCTGGATGGAAAGAATCGCTTGGGATGGTGATGTCTGTATGGCTAGGTTTTCTGAA